TGTATTAGAGACAGGTTTGAAGGAGTCATGATTAGTGGGAATGGGTAGAAGATTTTGGAACAGTAGTGCTTGTTGTGAATCCTAAATTCTGTGTTTTTGAGCAGCTATTACAACAACATGTTGTCATTTTACCAGGGCATTGTGCCCTGAAATGCCAACAAACTTGGGCTGTTGTGGAACTGAGTGGGGAGAGGCAAGGTCTTTATTACCCTGGGTCCTCTTGTTAGGCGCCTCCCCCCACTGACAGTAAATCATGGGTGAGTGGCAGTCTCCTGTAAAGTACTTTGGCCGTTTAGTGATTAGGTTATCAAAGGAGAGTCCTGACCATATGCCTAATTGCTTCTTTGGATTCATTATGCAGAATATATGCTTGTGTAGTCTGGAATGAGTTTGAATGAGGATACATGGGGGTTTTTTTTGACTGATTAAGGGAAATGGCAACTTCCAAAAAGTTCAGGATTTTAGGTTTTTCTGTTTGCGTGATTTAATGCCTATATAAGAAATAATTATCCTTTAACCATTAGCATAGGTCTAGTTAGCTGTTCTTAGTTTGAAACACCTTGCCTCTGCATTTCCAATATTTATAGAGAATTGGGTAGGTTGGGTTTTTAACCTTTGAAGGATTTGGAAGCAGTATTTGAATTGTGTTGGGTTTCTGTGTTTGTAATAAATGAGATTCATTTCATTGCATTGTCATTTCGAAATGTAAATTATGGCTAGTAATGTTTTTCCACTGCCTTTTTTTCAAAAGGTGAGCAAAATTCTCATAATGAGACTATGCATTACAGCCTGTTTAGTGCAGATTGCCTGCTGTGCTCTGACTTTCATCATGCATCAGGCAAATTAAATATCCAAAGTGCAATGTACTGAACTCATTACACAGAGTTAATGATTATTGACTCCATTTAGGTTTGTGTTCCTAAGCATTTGCATTTCTTTCTCAGCGTTTTACAGGAAACCAGATAGCAAAGATTTACAGCCAGAATCCTGAGGTCTACATACAAACTGAGGTTGGGTCATCTTCAATCCATTTATTGGAAATCAGGGTTAAAAAATGTTAAAGAGATTTTTAAATAAAAATATTTAAGGACATGTAAGTTTCATAATGTGACTTAGCTTATACAAGGTATTGGTTTTATAATTTTGTCTGTTTGTTTCTGACCCCGCCCCAAGTCCTTAACTGTCACGAAGTTACAAGTCAGATGCACCTAGAATTATGTATTTAATATTTTGAACACTTGGGTCTCAACATTACGGGGGCTGGACTTGATGATCTTCCGAGGTCCCTTCCAGCCCTAAAGTCTGATGTCTATGAAATTTCAGTCCAAAGTTTGAAAGAGGAAACTGCTCAAAATTGTGTATTTCCATTTGTTCAAATATTTGCTCTCACAAATGGGCAACGAAGCATGCTGTTGATACAGTCATACCTACAAAATAACCCTTTGGATACACAAATGTAGTATTTGCTCACAGAAAACTGGTGGTATGCTATTTTGACCTGAAAGAAAATGGAGTTAGGTTCAGTCTTTTTTTGACAGTTTGGTCTTTGCAGGATATTTTAATTTCTACAATTCAAAAAATGTATTCTTTAAATGAAAGTTTCCTTTTTATTTATTTTTAATTTCAGAAGTTAGGAAACAGCTCTATTATTATTTTAACTGATTTAGGCTGCGGTGTTCTGCTTCTAGCAGTGATTTCATGCTGTAGAGCAAGTGGAAAAACTCTTGTCCCGGGATGTATATGAAGGAAGGATGACCCTTGCAGGTGCTTAGCTGACACCCTGAAGCATGAGACTGGTCTATTCCCATTTTAATAGCTGATACTATTGGTCATAAATTTCCTTCCCAGAATTGACCTCTTGTAGCAAGATGTTCCACAACTTCGCTATGTGCTTTGTAAAGAAATATTTCCTTTCATTTTGTTCTCCCTATGTTGTCTGAATGCCGTTGTGTAACCTTGTTCTAATGTATGGAATGGATAGAAGGCAGGCTAATAGAGTTGGTCATAAACCTAAGACCAGATTCAGAGAGGTGAATTAAACCTGACAGTCTTTGGATCTGAGCACAAATGACGAGGGCTGGCTGGCATCTGTAGCAGACTCAGATGTGTGGAAAGGGAGGAGGCGACGCCTCATTGCAACTGTAGTTCCTAGGAGGAATGGTCTCAGCAAGAATTCTTCTTGAGTACCCTCAGGCAGCATCTACTAGCATGTCAGCTTCACTATTGTGTAGAAGGTGCCTCATTTTCTTCTGCTGTGTTATTCTGCTTTGGAGACCTCACTTTTAACCTAAGCCACCTCTTTCCATTACAGGCAGTCAAGACATTGGGAAAGATTGTGTTCCCCAGCTACAATGTAATGGTGGGGCACGTGAATGGCAAGAGGGCCTCTTAACCTTCCCTTTTTTAGGGCCATCTCCAAGGACTCTCAGCCTCTCTGAGAGAGTAGCAGGTAGTAATGCAGTGCCTAATATGGTTGAAATTAACTGGCTATCTGCTAGGGTGGATGAGGTTGCCTGATTTAGGAAGAAGTTCAGAGACTTGTGACTGGGAGGAAGATGCAACAAGGTTGCTGAAAAGGACTGCTGAGAGGAGGGAGCAGAAGTTTGGAAGATCTGTGCCTCTATTTTTGGTTCATGACATGATATTTGATGGATTTTTCTGTGGCCTTTTGCACATGTTTTTGTTTTTACTGAATTATGTCCTTTGAATACGTGTATTGCTACGTGGCTACACTGTAGAGGCAGAATTTGCTAATGTACTGCATATATATATTTTTATATTTCACAACTCAAAGCTGTTAACAGCTTTTAGAACGATGTTTGTTTTCAGCCTGTCTTCTGCATTCCCTGGCTTTGCAGGTACTTTTTTGCTGCCTGGCTGCATTCAGTACTTAGCTTCTGTTTGCTTTTGTTGTCTCCATTTACTTAGTTGCATGCATTGCAGTGAAGTTTGTTGGCAATCACTATTGCATTTGATTTTTTTCTTTCTTTCAGAGAATCGCTTTGGTTAGCAGCTTTGCGGCCTCCCTCTTTCTAGGTGATTATGCACCCATTGATTATAGTGATGGTAAGTGCCTTGTCTCTTTTGGGGAGTTCTCTTATTATCACCATGAGTTTGAGGTGCGGTAGATGCTCTTAACCTGTTAACTCTAAGTCTGAGAACTCAGCTGGTGAATGTACTTGTGCTTGGAAGTTGGAGCTGTCTAGCACCATTTTTAGGTTCCTTCTAGAAGCGCTATCAGTCCCAACTTTTTTTTCTATCTGCTACATTGTCACTTCCAGTTTCCTGAAGGGGTCTTGCTGCATTGTGATATGTGAAGTTTGAAGTTTCTGTGTCAAAAGGTGATATTCGTGCATGTCTTTTCTAGTTTTGGGTTTCTCAAGATAGTTATTATTAGTTCCTTATCTTAGCTAAAGGGAAGGTTTGCAGAAGAAACCATCTTTCTTTTAAGTAAGCAAAAAAATAAGCAACAGCAAAAGCTTAAGAACCTTTCACAGCTTCTTTTTATGCACAGAAGATAAAAATGTGGCCAGACCAGTTTCCAGGTTATCTTAAGTGTCCAGCTTTCAAACAGTGATTACCAAGGAAACCTCTCTTCTACTACCTTTCCTGCTGTTTCTAAATATCATGCAATTCTCTGGCAGGAAAGGAAAATATCTGTTTCGGAGCTGTGTAGTTAGATACCATAGGGATGTTGTACAGAAGGTTGATAGAGCCAGAATTGACCCCTGCACATGAAGATCAGCTCGCTCTTATTGCATTTCTGGTGAAAAGGCAGGGTGGGGGGGAAAGCAAGGTATCTTGACTTTAGCTAAGGGAAAAGTAGTTCACTATCACATCCCCCACATCTACTTAAGACCCTAAGCATGGACAGCACAGCTGTTTTTGTTTTGCAGCAACTAGGAGATGCTTAGGTCTATTTTCTGGTTCAATATAAATATTTTATTAGAGCCAACTTCTAATTTTTCAAGATATGGACACATGAATAAGTGATAAATTTATCATGGCATTAAAAAGGGTTATGGAGGATGGCTTATGGTACATCAACTGTTCTTTGAAAACTGGCTCGTATCTATGTAGGTAGCAAATGTGGTCCCCATCTTCAAGAAGGGGAAGAGGGAGGACCCGGGCAACTATAGGCCCGTCGGTCTTACCTCAATCCTGGGGAAACTCTTTGAGAAGATCATCAAGGAGCACATTTGTGATGGGCTGGCATCAGAAATGATGCTCAGGGGCAATCAGCATGGATTTATTAGGGGGAGATCATGTCAGACCAACCTGATTGCCTTTTACGATCAGGTCACAAAGGCCATGGATGCAGGTGTCGCGGTGGATGTAGTCTTTCTGGACTTCAGCAAGGCCTTTGACACCGTCTCTCACCCCATCCTAGTTAAAAAA